TTCCGAAAGTATATGTTGCTGTATTAGTGACATCAAAGAGCTAGGACTATATGACACAGGCAAATTCCTTTTTTATTTTTTTAAACATGGAATCAAAATGCAAAGATCCTGTTAAAAGAAACAGTTCCATTTCTGTATTTACTGCTTTAATATATGATTTCATTACACTGTGTGTTACTTAGATTAGATACTACCAGGTATCACTATAGACTAAAACTATTTTCAAGGAACCATGTTTCAGAACTCAGCAGTTCAGAGCCCCTTTCTGATACTTTTAATTCAGTTACTCATAAAATCCTGCTTACTCTAGTAGTGAAAGTCATGAATTCTGGATGACAGGTAGCCAGGCTGGATTTTTTTTGGCAGAAGCTCACCCATTAATACTCACTCCTGCAAAATTCATGCCACACATTTAAATTGGTTCTCACACTAAGACTGGCTTTCTCATCTCGTGTGCAATATTGGAACCACAGCTGTTCACACGACCAGTCTTTTTCACTCTTAAGACATCATCTCTTCTATCTTTGGAGCATTTTCCCTGAGAGCATGAATTTATGTATTTTGGAGGGGGAAGGGAGGAAATTGAATAACTTTCTCAATCAGCCATCCTAAATATAGTTCTTCCTGAGGTAGAGTCTCAGAATTTCCAGTCAGAGGTAGCAGAGATCTTGTTGAAAGAATTACACGTGCAAGAAACAGAGAGGGGGAAGGAGAGACAGATTTAGCTCAAAAACTAGTGAAACAAAAAATGGTCACTCTGGTCACTGCTCAGATTTCAGGAAGGAACTTAATTCCCTTCTCAACTCTCTGCCATTCTTGGATAATAAACTCCTGGTAAACTCCTGCACATGTAGCCAGCTGAGAAGGATGACCTATGTTCTTCAGCTTTCCAGAAGTGCGTAACTACTTCCTTCCTATGCCTTTCACTTGCCAGCACTACGAACTCCACTTATTCATTATTTCAATGGGTTTTGTAGTGCCTGACCAACTAGTGTGAAATTGGGTTTTCTTTGGTAGAAGATCAGGTGTTCTGTTCTTGTAATTAATATTACTCTCTTTGAAGTAGCAGGTACCTATGCCAAGCAGTAAAAATAAAGGGCAAACTTTCAGTTTTCAAGTGCCTCCTGGATTTAGTAGTACAATTTCTATAGATTCATTCTTCTTGTGTTTGTTTTTTTTTCTTTTTCCTTATGTACAGTAGCTGCTGTTGTACCTCAGTGATCAAAACAAGAATAAAGAAATGCTTCAAAGCCTGGAAGATTTAAGACTCCCTCTCTAAGAGGGTGACTGAATGGAAGAGATGTTTTGAAAATGCTGTGTAACTAGTTTCTAGCACAGAGATTCTTAAATTAACTTAAATTAAATTAAATTAAATTGCTTATGTATCATTGGCGGCAGTTGCTACCAGCTTTGTGCCATCCTGTTCAGGTGTACATTTGCGCCTTCAGACAGTATTTCCATGCTGATAATTTAATCACCATGTGGTTGTATCTTTATCAAAGTTTGGATGCCTCTGAACTTTAAAATTAGTTTTGAAATTTATTTTTGGAACCATTACAGTAGTGATGAAAAAGAGCAGTGTAGTATTTCCTTCAGATCAAAGGTGTGCTTCAAGGGATGGGAAAGTAAAGGAGTTTTCTTGCATAAGCATCCAGTGACTCCGTCATCAGGAAGGTGTCGCTTTCCAGAAAAAGTGAGCTCTTCCTGCAGACTCCTCATTTTGTCCAATTTTCTTGCCTGTCTTTCTGATATGATGTTTCAGACTGTGCATTTATACAGAAGACAATATTTGTGTTTGAAAGACTTACAGGTTGCAAGAGACCTGTACTGTATGAAAGAGCTCAATAAGGCATGCAGGTGGTTCTGCTTCTGTTTTGATTTACACACATGGTTTCATTTCATTGGATTAAATCACATGGTAAGCAGTTCACTACCTTATATATAGTAAATTAGAGCAAGATTTCAGAGATTTCCTGTGGAATTATTTGGTTTTGATTTATACCATAACTTGCAATTCTGGAATCTCTGCACTAGGTAACTGTGAAATCTTAAGTGAAAGCACTTCTTAGAAGTGTTTTGATTCGGTAAAAATTATGCTTTCTTTTTGTAAGTATTTGAGCAGGTGCCTAAAATGTGGGGAATAGCTATCATAATTTTGTAACTATTTTAATGCAAAATTTAACCTTTTTGCATCCTCTGAAATGCTTAAATAACCTTTATAAAAAGACAAAGTTTCTGCTTTCTTGGATTCTGCTTCACAGCGTAGAACAAACCACAAAGGCCATGGGATGTTTATCTGTATGGACTAGTTTGGTTGTTTGAAGTCATTACTTGTAAGATAAATTGTCTTTTCTACAAAGACGCTTCAGATAACATGCCAGTGGGATAGGGAGTGTTTTATTCATACCTTCACTTTACAATGAACAGTTTTCACATTCTTAGTGGCCTTCTGGCAAAACTTAATTTTTCTCTCTGTACTTGAATGTGCTCTGGAGATTCATATCTACAGAGGGAGTTCTTCATGTTTGGACCTTCCTACAGTGCGGAATTTCATTTTTAATATAGTCCCTGTGCACACCATATCTTTTGGCAGTTTTCTTTCACTTTTCAGCGTGGAGACTGTAGCAAGGGAGGGATCAAAGTACATCTAAGCCTCCTAAGAAATAACATCTGCTAAAGTTTATTTCTCAAGTAGTCATTCATCTCAAGAGAATTTCTAGAGTGACAGATCTAAGCAAATGACAGATCTGTGTAGAAGTGCAAGGAATGGTCTGTGGGGTCCCAAAGCTTTCTTACAAGAACTATGAAGACCTCCACAGTGTCATCACAAGTTAATTTTTGTTATATGCACTTTCTAATGCTTCTCCTGCATTATTTGACGTGAAACAGTCTGGGTTCAACAATTTGGTATTTTTGGTTTTTGTTTTGCAGTATGAAAGTTAATTGAAATAAATACTGCATCTGGATTTTTACAGACAAGTTAAACCAAAGTCTTGTACCTATGACTGTCTTTGGTATCAAGCTATGCAAAACCTGTGTTATCATATCATTCCAACTGGAAAACCTAACTCATCTCAAGCTAGTTAGAAAATTGGCCCACATTTGCCAATGTTTTCTCAGAATGCCTCCTATGTTAAACCTGGGCTACAGTTCACAATCACTGAAAGCCATTTGAAAAGCTAATATATGGAGGTCAATTAAAAGCAAAATTAGGTTACTGGAATGACCCTAAAAATACTCTTATGTCTAAAGATTGTCACAGTTTTAGAATTAAGCGATTACTTAAAATGCTCATTTGTATAAATGGTCATGATGTAATCTTTACTCTCCTGCTGTTCTTCTTTCTTATATTGCAGTTGTTCTGCTGTGCTTCATATCTCAATACAATACAGTCAGACTGCTTCCTCCTATTGCTTCTTATTGCTTCAGCTCATTGTTTTGCTTCCAGTTTGTGCTGGGACAGCACACAATGCTCTTAGTCCTGGTGTTGAGAGCACTAGTAATCCCTTATTACATACAGCAACACATTCATCCGCTTGATTACATCTCACTTTATATGTATGTATCTACAAAGTTGTTTCAGTGTTCACAAGAGACCACAGCTTTTAGTTAGTGGAAACATGTGAATGGATTAGAAATATCTGGAAAAAAGGTAAAAATGCAACTTTTGGTTACGTTGAAGAGCTTAGCCAAAATTCTTGCTTTTAGTTAGAGTATTAAAAGGGCATAAAGTAGTTGTATCTGATGTGCAATATTCCTGTGGTTGCAGAAGCCCAGAGCTGTCGTGCTTGGCTGCTGTACCATCCTCCTTCCTTCGTCTCAAAAGCAGGGTGTGTATTTTGGTATTGCATTGTAGCTGTTGTGTGCTTCCTAGAGATGGCACTCAGTATGTGTCATTTAGAAGAAATCCCAGGCTGCTTTCACGCACTCTGCTCCTTGAATATATAAGGAAAGCCTCCATTACGTGGCAAACAAAATGATTTGCAATATGCAAACACCAGCAACTTCGTTTCGGAAAAGCTCTCTTTCCGTCTTTTTAATACAATATGTTCAAGTGCTCTGCTAATTATCCTATGCCCTTTCCATTTTGGATAGATATTGATGAATGCAGCACCATCCCAGGAATCTGTGAAGGCAGTGAATGCTCTAACACTGTGGGAAGTTATTTTTGCGCCTGCACACGGGGTTATGTCAGATCCACAGATGGCTCCCACTGTATTGGTAGATATTCCACCCTGTAGGCTTTTAGTGCTCAAGGTTATTAAAACAGTTTATAAACAGCAGCAGCAGAACTTCTGTCCCAACCATCTAGCACTTCCCCTCCACTCCAGTACCTTCACTGTATGCTAACTCTGTGATCCAGCTACTTAAAATTCATAACATCCTCCTCTGATTATGTTTATCACTGCAACCATCCTAATGTAGACAGTAGATCCCTCTGTTTTGACTGCATTGTAGCCTGAGAACTCCTGTCTGAGATCTGGATCTTCTTGGGAAAAAAGCAATTCATATCTCTCTGTTGCCTAGGCAAGCATAGGAAATGTTAATTGTATTTGTTTCTCTAACCTACATTTGATGAAACCAAAAGCTAAGCTTACTTTGGTTCTAAAGGAATGAACATTTATCCTTACCTGGTATTTCAAATTCCATCTCACATAGGTTAATTTAACCTATAGAGACCAAAATAAGGCTCATAAATAAACTCAGAAGGCATTAATTGGTGTATGCTGAGGTGCCACTAATTTGTCTGGAACAGATAATAAACCAAATACTAGATTTCAGTAGATTGCCGCATTTAGAGGATAATTTATTTAAAACCCATTTCTATCATAAAAAAGATTTATGCTTTTTTCACATGTAGTAATTTCTTTTATACAGCTGCATGTGTCAAATGTATGCTATAAACCATTCTGATGAATTAACTAAGAATACTGAGTACCATGTACAAGCATTAACAATTGCTAATTAGTACCATGTCTTTCCAGAGTCATTAAGCTTTTCTCTTAGTCAGCATTCAGGAGTGTGGCAGTAAAAGATCTAGGATGTCCTTGAAGGAACTAGAATATAATGAAAACTGACTTATTTATGTAGAGTTGTTTTCACATTACACTACTAAAAATGCTGTTTTACATTCAGTGTACTGAGCAGAACAGACTGGATAGCATTTCTTCAGTCAGACAAAGACAAAACCAAGACAAAATTCACCAAATTAATTTATTGATGTTGCAGTTGTTACATGAAATGTCTTTATTTTTGCCATAGTGGGCTTTTCAATATATTGGTGTCTTATATGTCCGTATTTCTTGTTAACTTAAGCAGATTTTACTTGCACATTGGATTAATGCAAGCCCAGTGTCACTGCAGATATGCAATCCTGCAGTAAACCAGTGGAATTAGTTAGTGCTGATCACCTCAGATAATTATTGGGTGTGTTTTGGGTTTGGTATCGTTTGGCTTTTTAACACAATTTTTTAAACATTTTAGTCCTTACATGAATTGGATAAAGGAAAGTAATTTTGAGAGTTTGTTCTACTATTTTTGGTTGCTTTTTGTTGGTTTTTTTAACTTAACTTGCAGATCAGAGGGCAGGTACGTGTCTCTCCAACATAGTGAATGGCCACTGTGGACAGAAGGTTCCTGGTAGGTTCACCAAAAGGCAGTGCTGCTGTGAGTCTGGCCATTGCTGGGCCATCAGGTCTGTTCCAGAGGTGTGTCCTGTCAGAGGATCTGGTGAGTGGTTTGTTGGTTTGTTTTCTCCTCCTTGCAGTCCATCCTGGTTGGGATGAAGGGCACTGGGATATTTTAAACTGCTTTAAAGTGTAGGCTAAATGGAAAAAGTAAGTCAGGAATTAAATTAATTCTTGTGTTTTAATACTGATGTTACCATCTATGAACCATTTTTTCCTGGTCCATGATTGATTGGAACTAGTTTCTTTAATGACCTTTCGTTGAGTTTGGAAATAATTATTGGGAAATGGTAAAGATCTTGTGTTCAAACTCAAAGAGGTAATTACTCTGAGGATCCAAGATTAATTATGATTTGAAGGCACAGCTGCTGTCCTGTTAAATTTTGGGTTACTTTGAATTAGAAATGTGGCAGTATTTCATTTATTCTTTCAACTCTGTTCACAGAGCAATAGTCCACATCCCTAGTGAATTGTTTTTGGTTTATCTATATCAAGATCTCCTGAGTGACCAGGGAGTTGCATTGCTGCTGGCATCACATCAACAAAAAGTTTTCAACGAATAGTTGTAAATTAGAATATTTCCTTTTATTATTTTTTAGTGTCCTTCCTTAAATAACACTTGTCACAGTCATGGAATCTATCTCAGGAGTGGGAGAGGGAATATGTAACATCAAAGAAACGAGGAGTTGGTGTTCTGGTTTTTGTAGCATGCAAAGATCTATATCTTCCTTCTAAGCTGACTCTAAAGGGTTGATTTACTTTCCTGTTTACTGTTTCTGTTTAACAGATGAACACCGCAGACTTTGTGTGAATGGTGCTCCTGGCGGAGATGGTTCCAGAGGTGGTGGGACAAGAGGAGCTGGTGTCTATCCTGGTGGCAATGGCTATGGCCCAGAAGGAGCAGGATTAATTCCCAAGCCTGGAAGCAATGGTTTCTCCCCAGGTGTAGGGACTGGTGGTCCAAGTCCCACTGGCAGTGGCCCAGTAATTACAGGGTTAAGTAAGTACTTGCATTGTTGTGATTTATTTCTCTCTCTTTTAAATTCATTTTATTTTTTACTTTTTTCTCCTTAATTTTTAGTCTGGAAATGATATAATGTTCTTAACACATAAAAATGCCTTTGTATTCAAGCACATTTAAGAGACCTCAGCTGTTACCTAAGAAAGTTCAGGAGCCCCTTTTTAAACAAGAGTTCAGATGTAGAGATTTTTTCTTCAGTACAGAGTTGCTGAGCCTGTGCTGTCTCTGCTGACCTGTCTTTGTCAGCAGTAATAGAATTCCAAATTTCTAAGTGTTTTCAAACAAACCACCAGGGTTTAGAATAAACTGTTTTCTTTCCTTGTTCTTCCAAATGTGAAACTCAACTATCCTGCAAGAACGCTTTCATGACTGAAAGCCCAAGGTAAATAACACACAAAGTCCTATACATGTAAAGTTGCTTATAATGTGTGTAAGCACATCTCTAGGATCAGAACGATGAAGTTAATAAAATGCAAGTATTATTAATTCAGGTACACAAGAAATAACTAAGTAATGAGTATAATCTTAATATTTACCTCTCTTTGAAAGAATAAGTATTTGTCTCATGGTCTGTGTTTTTTGTTAGCAATACTCAATCAGACAATAGACATCTGCAAGCACCAGCCTAACCTTTGTTTAAATGGACGTTGTATACCAACCGTTTCTAGTTATCAGTGTGAGTGCAACATGGGATATAAGCAGGATGCAAATGGAGATTGTATTGGTAAGTGTACATTTCTAAAATCTATTACTCACTTTTACAATGCTAATATTTTTCTGGCTTAAATCTAGTTTTAAGAAAAGGAACATATTATTCCTCCCCCACATACATGTTTATTTTAATGATACTGTTTTTGTGAGAGTGCAAGAACTGTTACTAACGCTAGAAAAATTTAAAATCTTCATGAGAGTTACCATTTCCTTTAGGAAAAAAGAAATCTCTAATTGCAGATATTGGTATTCTGTATTCCTGTACTTTATGGGTAGTACACATTTTTGTCTTGATATTCAGTAAGGTAAGTTTTGTTCTGTGTTCTATTTTGTTATACTTACATAGCTCCATTTTTACTACAGGAGTTAGTGTTACGTGCCAGATAACAACAGGGAGAGTTTGTGTTTTACCTACTCATAAGGATGAATGACAATTTGAAAGAGAGCAAATAATTTTAAAAATGCATTATTTAACTTTCGGTTATATATTTGCATTTCATATGAAAATATTGAATGTTAACTTTATATAACAAGAGCTGAATTTAGGGTTCTGTACTTTTATTCAGTTACTTCACTGAAGTGGACTTCATTCTTGCAGTGTCAAAGACTCCTGAGATATTTCAGGGAAAATAAAAAATTTTGGGTTTCTTGTGGTCTGTTGTCGTGGTTTAGGCCCAGTGCATA